TTTTGAAAATGATTTTTTCAATATATTTTAATTCTATTTTTATTACAGTCTAGTTCTTTTATTATCTTTTTAATTATTTTATTAGATAAAATATTTTGTTATTTGAATATAAATATTTGTATTAATAATACTTTTTCTGATTCTATTATTATATATCTTTTGTATTTTAATTCAGATAAAATTTTTGAATATTCTTTTTTTATTTTTCTTTTCTTGCTTAATAAAAGTTAATAAGCTTGAATATTTATAACTTTGAAAATTTGATATTCATTTTTTAGTTATATTTTGCAATTTAGTTTTATAAACATCTTCTTTTAAAATTAAAATTTTAGTATGACATATATATCAACTATTAAGTATAAATAATAAAGATTTTTTTATATATAGTTCTTGTCTTTAGCTATTAGAAAATAAAAAAAATTTTCTTTATATTATTACTATAGTAATATAAAATTCTCTAATTTCATAATCTTTCTTTAATTATGTGAAATTTTATTTTTCTATTATTTTATTATTTATTATATAATTACTTTTATTTTTATATAATTATCTATATTTTTTTTATTATATTTAACTCTTATAATTATATTTTTATTTTAAATTATTACATTTATTTAATATGAAATCTATATTTTTGATTTAAATATTATATATTTTTTATATACTTATTAGAATAGTATATTTGAAAATTCTTTTTAATAAAATAATAGAATATTTTTATAAATATTAATATTTAAAAGATTAATAAAATATTAATATTTAAAATATTTATATAAATATTAATATTTATAAATATTAATATTTGTAATATTTACATAAATATTAATATTTATAGCATCAATATTTTTAAATATCAATATTTTCAATATTATAATAATAAATTATAGTTCTTTATAATAATATATATTGTAAATACTTGAATTTAAGCAACTCTCTATATTATCATTTTTTGACTAATTTTTTGTAAGAATTACTTAAATTTAAAAAATTATATATTATAACATTATACAGATCAAATTAATTAATATAAAAAATTTTAAATATTCCTTTCCTCTAAATTCAAACTTTCATACTGTATTCTATTTATATATATATATTTAATTATTTATCCACTTCTCTATAAATATAAAAATAAGTAATAATTCTGCAAATATTAGTCTCAAAGTAACTAAAGTAAAAAAATATATAAAAGAATAGTATATAAAGCATTCAAAAAGCTTGTTATTATTTGTAAATCTAAGAAGATTAGTATTTTGACTATAATATATTATTTTAGTATTGACAAATTAATAATATTATAATGAATATCTAATAAGAAAAAGTTTAGTAATATATTACTAAAGAATTAATGTATTAGTACTAAATGATTACAATCTATCTAGTAGCTGAGAAAAAACTTATCAAGTGGATTTATAATCTTAACTTGTTAGGATTGATATAATAATAATAACTATCAAAATATAAATATTTATTATTCTCAAAATAATCTATACAAATTAATATCCAGATATTTTTAATAAATTTTATATTTCAAAATACTGGTTTTTTTATTTTTTAAAGTAGTATAATCTTTTTCTTTAATATTATACTAAAATTAATCAAAAATTATTTAAAGATCTTGCTGAAAAAATTATTCTATTTCAAAATTTTGTAATCTAATCTTGATTATTATATAAATATAATCTTTCTCACATCAACAATATGGATAAAACTCCAGTTTATTTTGATATAACTAGTTCTATTATAATTAATATAAAAGATATAAAAATTATTTATATTTAAATAACTAATAATAACAAAAATTAGTTTATATATATTCTAGCTATTATAGCTGATGGTGATAAACTTTCACTTATAATAATTTCAAAAGTGTATGAATTTTTATTAATCTTTCTTGAGATATCATGATATGAATACATAAAAAAGCTTGAATAAATAAATATTTAATATATGAGTGAATAAAATAGATTTGAAATAAATAATTATAAATATTAATAATAAATAAACCTATCTCATTACTTATTATAAATTTATTTGAAGAATATAAAACTGAATCAGTATGATAAAAATATAATATTAGTAATATTTATTTGATAATTATTTAGAAGATTTAATATCTATAATATAATCTTTAAATATCTATTTTAATAAATTATTTAAAGAAAAATTAAGAAAAAAATGATATTTATAAATAAGTCATGATAAATATCAATTTACTAAGAGTGAAAATTTAAAAAAGCTGAATATAATTTAATATATTAATGAGTTTTAGAGATATAGAATGATATTTCTATAGAAATAATTATCAAATTATTTAAAAAATATAGAATTTCTAATGTATTAAATGAAACTGAAGATAATTTATTATATTATTCTAATATAAAAATTGATAATATAGCTGAAGTAATTAATAAAAATAATAGTTCTGCTAAAGAATTAGAATATGAAAATAAAGAATATAATAAATTTTATATTAATTTATTATATAATAGTTTTTAATAAAGGAGTTACTTATTTAACTTTTTTAAGATTTTTGAACTTGAAGAGAAAGAAATTACTTATTTTTAAGAGTTACTTAAATTTAAATATTTATAGTATATTTATATAGTATTAACTAGTAATACTATAATAATTTATATATTTGAAAAATATATAAAAGAATTTACTATTCTAGCTTGAAATAAATAATTTTGAATTAAATTATTTGGAAAATATAATTAAAAAACTTATTATTATAATAATAGTAATTTTTTAAAAAGATTTCTTTTTTAATTATATTAATATCTTTTTTTTACTTAATTTTATTTCTTTGATCATACAAAGTTGATTTTGATTTGAATTATAATATTATATTGATTTTTGATTTTTGATATTATTTTAAGAGTAGAAAATCTCTACTATAAATAAGATATAATCTTTTTATTTTATTTATTTTAGTATTTTTGATAGTAAAAGATTTTTATTATAAATAAGCTATATATTTTTAATAGTTTTCTTTGATTAATAGTAGATTTACTATTTAATCACTTAAATCCTGAATTATATTGATTACTAATGACTTTACTAATTGATTTTTATAATTTTCTTGATTTATTTTATTCTTTCATTATTTATTTTCCCTTTGAAAGACAATATTTATAAATATTAATACAGATCTTAGAAATCTTTATCAGTATTAAAATATAATCTAATTCTTTTCTCTTTATTCTTTAACTAATTCAGTTTCACTTAACTTAATATTATTAAAATAAATCCAAGTGAAAATCCACTTAATAGATTTATTATAATAATATAATATCTAAAAGATATGAACTTACTGAGTTTGAATAAGAAAAAGATTATAAATTTCTGAAAAGAAAATTATACTAAGCAAAAATCTTGAATATTCTAAAATTATTATTTATGATACTATAATAAAATACAAAAATTCAGAAAATATTACAGATGCTTTATATTCATGAAGATATTCAAAACTTACAAAAAGAAAGATTAAAAGTCTTGTAGAGAAAATAATAAAAAAATTTAGTAGGTTTTTATCAATTTTAGTATCTTCTAGCTTGAGAGATTTTATGAAATAAGCTGGAAAGAAAAAATTATTTGTTTCTGAAAAAATTTATAAAAAGACTAGAATAATATTATGAAAGAAGATATTGGAATGATAAGTAAAATTTTATTATTTAGAATGATAAATCTTGCTTTATATTATTTCAGAATGTTATTTACCACTGAATTTGGCATAGATTACATGAAAAACATGATATAATTTGCTTAATTCTGATTGTAAAATCTGGAACTAATGGATTATGATATGATAATATTAGGTAAAAGATAAGATTGATTCTTTAATCCAAGTTTCAGATAATATAATGAATTCTATATATATAGAAATATTATAAAATACTTTTTCACCTTTTTAATGGTAGTTTAGAAAATAATTCATAATATATTTTTCAAATGATAATATTTCAGTACATAAGGCAAGAATGATTATTCAATAAAAGATGAATACTTCAGTATTAAATCTTCCATGATCTGCACAGAGCCCAGATCCTAATTTAATTGAACATCTGTGAGATGTTTTGAAAAGAAGAGTTTGGAAACACAAAACTCATCCAAAAAATATTGTGAAATTAATAGTAGTTTTGAAGGAGAAGTGAAATAAAATTGAGTTCAAAGTTTTAACAAATTTAATTAAAAGTTTGCCAAGGCGGATTCAAACTATATTATAGATAGCCATGGAAATCCAACTAGATATTAATAAAATTTCTTACAATGTTTGTTTATGAAATTAATTGTTGAAATTTGTGTATTTTTTTCCGGTTTAGATACTTTTGACCGGGGAATGTATCTGTTTAATACGGCACGAGATTCACCATTCCGTTTGTGGTATTACACGTGTTGAACAACTAACTAATTGGTTATTTGAGATATGGCGAGATGAAAAACACCTACGCGATTCCACGTATCCGCTTTATCAACCTTCATCAACACATTTTATTGGTTTTAGTGTACGAATATGAACACTTGAAATTTATCTCACCGCCACCCAGATGCGCCGGACATTCTCCTATGTTGAAAAATCTCATAGAGGAATAGGAGTTTCCCGCATTTCTGAATCATGTATCTCAGATATTATATCGATATTAATACTGGACGAAAACTATAGGGGCACCGAAAATTTATCACTCCTATTTAACCATCACGTAATAAACAAATGCATTACGATAAACAAGTTAAACAAACGATTGATATATAAAAGTTTTCATTAGTCTCGTATTTTTTTATCGCCTCTTTACTCATTTTTGCTCGTCTTCTTGTCTTTTGTCTTTTTACTCGCTTTTGTCTGCTTATTCACTTTACTCACTCTCGTTTACTCTTTTTCGCTTGTCCACACTTGCTATCTCGCAGTTGTTCACTCTTGCTTGCTCACTCTCGCCCTTGCCTTTCCTCTTTTATTTACTCGCGCTCTTGTCCATTTTCGCTTGTTTACTCAATCTTATTCACTTTCGCCAGGTTCTATTTTCGTTCGCCTACTTGCATCACCTCTTCAAGCTTTGTTCACTATCGCTTGTCCAAACTCGATCTTGTTTGCTTTCTCTTGTGCTCGCTTTTTTAACCACTCTTGTTCATTCGCTTGCCCTCTCGCTCTATAGTTTCTTGCTCGCACGAATTTACGCTCTTCCATTTGCTCACGCATTTTGTTAACCACATTTCTCGAACAAATTTATAATGCTTCTATCTTTCTTTTTATTCGCAACTTATTTAAGCCTTGTTTTAGAGTTACAAAAGATCCTATGACGCGGCTATAACCTTGGATTACATAATTGTGAGTCTTTAATTAAATTGGTGAGTGTGTGCACACACTTTGCTAAGTGAATATATCTTGGTCACGCTCCTTGAAATCTTTGTGAGAATATCATCGATCTTAATCTGAATCATTTATGTGAGGTTAATGATTAAATATTTGACGCAGGATAAGGTCGACCTTTTAGTTTGGAGAAGTGTAAATTTATATTACTTTTTTATTGTACATCAGATTTATCAGTAGTGTATGACTTTCCATTTAGTACCGCTGGGTTTATAAGGAAGTACTCCATAAATTTCTTGTTAGATTTTCTATATTCGTCGTACAAAATCAACAATTTGAGGAGTATTTTTAAATATATACATTAATATATTTCAGGATGAAAGTTACAAACTTCCGTATATAAGTGACATTCAGATGAAAGAAGGTACATATAAATAATTTTGATTCCAAGTCAATTTTTCATAATGTAATTACGGAAATTACCAGCTTTTGCATATTCCATTATCAAATATTACAAGTATTTGTAACTGGGTTTTTAGTTATTCCATAATAAAAAACAGTGCATCCAAGAGTCTGAAGCTATTTTTGAGTAATCTTACTAGTAAGAAAAGAGCATTTAATGAGCAGTTGAATCCATTTTGAAAATTTTGATTGTATTAGAAACAAAAAGTAATTTTCACTTTAGCAAATGTTTATTTTACCTCATGTATAAACTCTACTGCATATTAATTTGCTTTGAATTGTATAATGATTCAACAAAACTTCAATTTCTTCATCATCTCATGTAAATTTCCATATTTATTCAATGGTCAGTTTTGCTTTATAAATAGACCCAAAACCTCCTTTTGCAAGATATTCAACGTTGATAAATCTTTCGTAAGGAATCCATTCGAATATATTTTTATAAAAATAGTTAATTCTTTTATTAGTTCGTCAATATTTTTATCTCCGCTAGACAACTCATCGTTATAAATATGAAAAACAGTCATAGCAGTCCTCATTTTCTTGACAACGAGTACATTTACTACAATTATGAATATTGCAAACTAAATACTCATCGCAATAATCGATGTATCCATTTTCCTTTTGAAAATAGCAACATTTACTAAAATAAAGCATATTTGGATCCATCTTTTGAGTTCAGTGGATAAAATGATGAAATAATAGAAAACAATCTAGAGATAATCGTTGTTACAAATGGTGAAATTCTATGTGCAAACTTTTATTACAATGTATTTATTAAAATGATACATACAGTGTATGCAGTTTTTTATCATTATTGTTGCGAAAAAACAACATACATGTACATGGATTTTTTAAATAAGTATTTACATGAATTTATGTTTGAATTCACAGAAACAGTGATGAATCATTCATTTATTTCGTTCATAAAATGAAAGAAATTTCAATTGCTTTCGTTAAAATCATAAAATCAGTTATCTTTGTCCTCGATTTCTTGTGTTATACTAACATCGAAATGATATTTTTAAATTAATATGAAATTTCATAATAATTCAAAAGCAAACATTTGACTGGAGTAAAACTACATTTGTTTATATTCCTAGGAATGCTTTTTTGTTGGTGGGCTGTTTTCTGGAATATTCTTCTTCAATAAAAAATTTGCTATTTTTGAATATTTGTAAAGATCTGGTACGATATCCCATTCACTCGGGATTTCGTATGTCGCGAATATGAATTGTTGGGATGTGGGAAAAAAATTAGAATGAATTAGACACGCTTTGTAAATTCACCGACTAAGAAACCAATATGACACTATGTTTTTCATTATTAACATAATAGCCTTTTGGACGATAATAAACTGGTTTGTCACTAAAAGTTTGCAATAATGATGTTTCAAATATTTATTAAAATTTTTTTTCGAAAGTTTATGCGTGAAATTAGAATGAAAATTATCTATAATAATATCAAATCTTAATAGCGAAATGCTAATAATAAAAAATGTTCGTTAGAGCCTATTCTATTTATTAAAATTTACAAAGTATCAAATCGTCAAAGGTGAATTTATTTATATAAGTATACTCGCGAAATAACGAGCATGAGTGTAATTTCGAAATTTCGGCCTGAGTTAAACATACTATAGGCTGCGAGTATACGGTAGGTGATATTTATTATTTCCATGTAGTCAACGAAAAATGGTGATGAATTTTTTATCTTATAATTACTGTAGCAATTCATTTGATATTTCATGAACCAGTTTACCAAGTTTACTAAATTTTAATAAATATAGAATAGGACTGGTGATATTTCTACTATTAATATTTAACCAATTAATATGTGATAATTTTCCTTTTAAAGTTCACCCATGAACTCTAAAATTTTATTTTAAGAATCTTATAAATAATCATTTGTGCCTATTACATTGTAAATTTTATTATGCAGTTGTATTTAACATGACGAGCAAGTTTTATTATATCGACTTTTTAAAGCGATATTATTTCGGTGATTTTACATTCATCCCAATTTTTGTCACCCTCTGTACATGTCATGCACATGTACATTCTTACATACATGTGATGATATTAAAGTCAGCGTTTTGTGTTTCAAACTGATTAACGATAAACATTATCATATTATTTATCGTTATCCACATAAAAAGGCAAATAACAAACTTATAATGAAGACTGATTTCTTATTGACTTCACACTCCAATAAGTTGGCAAAGTTTTATGAAAATGCCAAATATTGCGATATTTCGATTATTGTTGGAGATATTCAAAATACTGAGCGAACTTTTACAGCACATTCATCAATGCTAATGGCGCAATCGGAATATTTTGCTATTGCTCTTTCTGATGCGTGGGTAAAACGAGAACCAAATAAACGGATCGTTTTTAAGAAACCAAATATTGAACCGCATATCTTTGAAACTTTATTAAGGTAATCGTTAATTAATGATAATATTTTAAATTATTAAACTAAAATTAAACTTTCTATCATACATTATACATGTACATTTATAAGATATATGTACAGTGGTAGGATCGATTTGTCAGATCATGGAGTGCCAACACTTTTAGATCTGTTGGTCGCCGCTGATGAATTGATTCTTGAAGATTTGATTGAATATATTCAAGAATATCTTTTGGAGCAACATTCTGAATCCTTGGTTGAAAATTTTGCTTTGATTAATCAAACTGCTTTCCAACATAATTCCTTTGTCAAACTTCAAGAATTCTGTATAGAGATCATATGTAAAAATCCAGCTGCGGTTTTTCAATCCAATGATTTTGCAAACATTCAAGAAACAATAGTCACCACTTTGCTCAAACGAGATGATTTAAATCTCGATGAGATTAAAATTTGGGATAAGGTTATTGAGTGGGGAATCGCTCAAGTGTCAACTTCTGGCAACGTCGATTTGTCAATTCCAGTGGAACAATGGTCACAAAACGAATTCAATCAACTCAGCTCCGCACTCAAAAATTGTATACCGTTAATTCGTTTCTTCCATATAAACTCTGTTGATTTCTATAACAAAGTATTGCCATACTCGGAAATATTGCCAAAGAAACTTTACAAAGATTTGCTGCACCATTATTTGGTACCTGGAAGTGAAGAACAACAAGCTTCACTTCATCCCGCTCGCAATTCACACAACTTGTTATCAACAATTCTTTCTCGAAACCAAATCAATAAAATTATTCAATGGATTAATGGACAAGATAAGGAAAAAAATTATCCATTTGAATTTAACCTATTATTACGTGGCAGCCGAGATGGATTTACTGCTAGTGATTTTCACCGTTTATGTGATAATAAAGGACCAACCATTGTTGCTGTACGTGTCAAAGATTCTAACAAAATTATCGGTGGTTACAATCCCATTGAATGGAAATCTCTTAATAAATGGCATGGTTCTGAATTAAGAGGCAGCTTTTTATATAAATTTAATTCTGATGATGTTATGGGATCCAGTGGAGTTTTAAGTAAATATAAATCTAGTTACAGTATATATGATTGTTCAACGCATGGTCCTTGTTTTGGAGATGGTCATGACTTGGGTTTATTCGCTTCTTCAGGTAATTATTGCCATAAGCATTCTTATGAGTTTGGCCTTTTAGGTGAACAACGTCAAAAAATAACTTTTGACATCGATGATTACGAGGTTTTTCAAATTGTAAAAAAATGAAATAGAATTTATAGTTTTTATTTCTTATTTTATTTGTTATTCGTTTCTCTTACATTAAATTTTCAAGTGAATATATTGTTTCATGATATGAGCATTATGCAAGATAATATAAAATTATTAGACTTAACTTGTATTTAGAAATGTTAAATTTGAGTGCCTTATTTTTAGAGCATAAACTGAGTGAATGCAAAAATTTTCTGAAGGAGGACTATATATTACTATAGTAATATAAAATTCCTTAATATTTTAATCTTTTTTGATTATATAAAATTATATTTTCTTATAATTTTTATTTATTTTATAAATATTACTATTTTTATATCATATAATTATTTTATGTCTATATTTATTATCATATTTCTATTTTTAAATACTATATCTTATTTTTATTCAAGATCTGCTCTTGTAAAAATCAATTAATAATTTTTAATAATTCTTTCTTGTTCAAGTAATGCAACTTGATTGATATAAACTCAAATTAATTATTAAATACTTCTTCAGATTTATAAATAAAAAAGATTTTATGAGTAATATTATATAATATATCATATATATTTTTTCAAAAGTATCTTCAATATTCTTTTTGATCTTTAATATATTTCTTTAAATATTTCTGTGATTAAACTGAAAGTATATGTCTAAGTTTATAATATTGTTACAGCAAATTGGTAAGTAGAGTTTCACTTGAATTCATCTTAATGATATAGGGTTGGGAGAGACTGAAATAATTAAAGAATAA